CTTCTCGGCGCTTAGATAGATTGCGTTTTCTTCCTCGCGGATGTTGAGCCCGAGGTACTGCGTAACGGTAGAAGAGACCGTGAGCGTGAGGTCTTTCTGAAGCTCCCCTTCGAACCACGTGGCGATGCCGTCGGTTGACCCAATGTAGAGGAGATCGTCCACGTAGACGATTAGGAGAACGTAGTCACTTCCCTTTGTGAGGCGATACATGCCCTGGTCATGCGGGAGTTGTTTGAAACCGATGCGAATGAGGCGGGCGTGTAGGTACTGCTGCCACAGTCGCGGTACCTGCTTGATCCCGTAGAGCGACTTAAGCAGTTGACAGACTCGGTTGGGTTCGCCGTGGGAGTCGTGCGGGAGCTCGACGAAGATTTCTGCATCCACAGGTGCGTAGAGAAATGCGTTTGCGACGTCGATTTGTCCCAGTTTCTTTTTCTTCATGGCGGCGTCGGCGATGAGGATTCGGAGTGAGGTGTGACGGCTGACCGGAGCGAAGGTTTCGGTGTAATCTCTTCCGTGCTCCTGGTCAAAGCCGCGTACGACCCAGCGAGCTTTGAATTTGTCGATGGTGCCGTCAGCTTTCGTCTTCACACGGAAGACCCACTTTCCGGTAAGGATAGTCTTGTTTTGTGCTACGCCGATGGGAACGATTTTCCAGGTGTTGCGCTCCTCCAGTGCCTTCAGCTCTTTGTCCATGGCTTCACGCCATTTCTCCTTATGTTCCCCCCCCAGAGCCTGTTGAACCGTCGCAGGCTCCTTAGGAATGGCGGCGCCATGGACTGCGGTGACGAGACCAAGGATTTGCAGCCCAGTCTGTGAGTATCGAGGGAGTTCTGGATCCTCGGGATAAGCTGCTTCGTCTCCCGCTTCTGGGTCGGGTATGAAATTTGGCCCTACCCTTTCTGCTTCGTTGGTGTTGACTGTCGCAGGTGTTACGTAACCATTGTCGGCGAAATGGTAGAAGACTTCGGCGTTGTTACTGTCGCGAGGATTATCCTCATCCATGGGCACGTCGACGGAGCAGTACGGAAGAGGTCCGGCTTCCTCCGATGCGTTGTCGACGTTCTGCTCATCCCAGTCTGTTTCATCCGCTGCTGACGCGAAGGCTCGGTCACCACGAAAGCCACTGGTGAGGTCCCGATTCTCGTGCAAGTTGGCGAGGTACGTCTGAAGGGTGAGTCGTTCGTAGAAGATCACATCTCGTGCTGCTACTGTTTCTTTTGTGTGGACGTCGAAGATTCTCCACGCGTTGTAATTTTTCTCGATGCCGAGGTGTAGTCCCCACTGTGCCCGTTGTGAAAATCTTCCCGCTCGTGCTTCTGGGGGTCTGTACTGTACCATGCACCCGAAGACTCGTAACATTTTTGTGCTGCCCTGCTTCCCTGTCCACAGCAGATGCGGTGATGCGTTGTTCGGGAGTGACGACGACGACAACAAGTTGTGCAGCATGACAGCATGGTCCATTGCTGCTGGCCACTGGTGGTTGGGTAGCCGCATGCCACGTAACAGTTTGCGCATGCTGTTCTGCAGGGTCCTGTTCATTCTTTCTGCAACACCTTGCTGCTGATGTGCGTAGGGAAGGGAGAGGAGTTGCTTGATCCCCCTTTCCGCCAGGAACTGCTTGAAGCGCTAAGAGGTGTACTCGCCACCTCCGTCTGACTGGAAGCTTTTCAGTTGTGTTCCAGACTCTCTCTCTGCTATCGGTAGCCACGCGGCGAATGCTGCGAGTGCCATGTCGCGGCTGGGTAGATTGCGATGCCAGACGTATCGAGTGGCAGCGTCGATGAAGGTGATGGTGTAGTTGTAGGTGACTTGTCCGGGTTCGCGATTGTAGAGGATGTCGCTGTAGACCTTTTCGAGTGGTGCGTACACTGGAGCGCTCGGGTTGTGATGTGGAGCGAACGGTCGATGAGGTAAGTCAGCTTCGGGGCATATAAGGCAAGTCCCTCGTGCCTTCTGGAGTTCTCTGCCATCGGGTAGAAGTAGGGAGTCTTTGTCAAGAACTCCTGCTCTTATCGTGTTATTTATAACCGTGTTGCTTGGATGTCCTGTGCGTGCGTGCCAGATCTCTTCAGAGGCGCGGTGTCCGGGTGAACGTTGGTATGCGTCGGAGTTGGAGTAAAAACTGGCGACGAAGTTGGCGCTTCGGTGGACTTCGCGTTGAGTCGGATTCAGTTGTTGTGCGGGTGTTGGTGGTGCTTCGTCGACTGTGACTGGTGTCGTTGTTCCTGCTGCTGCTGATGTTGTCGCTGCTCCCGATGTTGTTGCTGCTGCTGCCGATGTTGTCTCTGCTTCTGTTGTTTGTTGAATCGTCGCTAACGCTCGTGTTCGTTCTGCTTCAGGGATAGTGTGGGAGTACCAAAAACCTCCCGGGCTGAAGTCGGGGTCGAGATCTGGAGGGTGTGTCCAGTCAGTAAAATTCACGATGGCGTCGCTGTCTGCAGTGCCCAGGTCAGGAACGAAGTCGAGGACGAAGACGTTGTTCTTCAGCACTGCCTTCCCGATGTAGAGGCCGCCTCTCCCGTGGTATAGCTTGAACTCCTGGGTGGTGCTGTCGGCTTCCAGGTGAATCCCTTTCGCCATCAGCTGGCTAACACTCAGTAAGTTGTAGCCGAGTCCTTCAGCGATGAGTACCTTTGACATGTGCAGTATGACATTTGTTTCTCTTGACTGAAGCTGTACCACTCCTTGTCGTCGTGTGCGCAGGTTTTGATTGTTGGCGACCGTGATGATCACTTCTCGTTGGAGTCGATGTTCGCGTTGTACGAAGCGCCCGGACGAGCACATGTGTTGCCCGCAGCAACTATCCAAGAACCAAGTGTCTTGGCCGGACGGTTCACTTTGAGCGATGGCGGCGTAAGTCGGATTTGGGTGGAGTGATTCGCGACGAGGCGTCCTGTTATCGAGCTCCTCTTCTGGTGAGTAATGGGGTGGTGACTCTGTTATGCAAGAATCGTTTATCTTTACCATGCAGTTGACTATGTTTCTTGCTCCTTGTGCAGGTTGTCCAGTTGAAGTCGTTGAAGCTTGAATCGTTGTTGTCGGACTTGCTTGCGTTGAAGCAACTTGTGAGCTTGAAGGCCGCAGTTGTCGCTGTGGTGTTGTCTGACGAGACGGGCAATGCGTGCGTGGGTGTCCTGATGTCTTGCAGATGTGACAAAACGGAGGTACTGGCTTCGGCTGCTGCTGTCGGTTGTTGTAGTTGTTGTGTCGTCGTTGAGTATGGAAAGCGAACTCCGGTGCTAATGCCCTTTTCTTGTGCCTTTCTTCTTGCAGGTCCATATCCTGCTGCTCGGCGTGGATTTCGGCGCAGAGTGTCGCTTCGGAGATCCTCCCGTGTGCTCGAAGAATTGCTTTGGTGGCGCGCCACTGAGGACCGAGGCCACCGATGACGACTGTTACGAAGGCGTCTTCAGAGATTGATCCTCCGCATCGAAGAAGCTTGTCGCGCAATTCGCGACATCGGCTGATATACGCCAACCCCTTTTCTCCTAGTTTCATTTCAACTGTTGTCAACTGCGCCATTAACCTGCTCTGGTTTACACTGTCTGTTGCCTGATACAGGTTCTTCAGATGGCCGTACGCGAGTTCCGCCGAGTTGCCGAAGTTCCGGTAAGAGCGAATGTTCTGCTGCTGAGTTGGTGTGATGTTTCTCAGTAGAATAGTATACGCCATCATCGATTGATACGTATACTGCTGCTTCTCATACTGTGTGCCGTTTGCTGGATACTGCAGGGATCCGTCGAAGAAGCCGAGTATCTGCGCGCCCTCCATCATCAGCTCGAATTCAAAGGACCAGGTGAAGAAGTCCTTTCCGTCGAAAGGTCTTGATGTTTGCAGTTTCAGGACATGCGCGAATTGCGACTGAACTTGTAAAGGTTGATGTTTGTCTTGCGCAGGTGAAGGTTGAGGCAGGAAGCTGATCGACCCGCGCTCGTACGGGGCGAAGGTGGGTTGCTGCTGTTGATTCCCTCGCGCATATGACGACCCGTCAAGGCTCATGGGTGTTGCTCCGTTGTTGCTGTTGTGTGTCTGTGCAGGTCCCGACTGCTGGTGTTGCTCGTAGAAGGACATGAAGGAGAAGAATTTCTCCATCATGCTCTGGTCGAAGTCAGAAGGATGGTTCGTGGGGGTCTCGGTTGACGTTCCCCTTGGTCTTGCTGCCGTGCCTTCCTCTGTCTGCAGGCCAGAGGCTGGCGGTGGAGTAGGAGTAGTGCCCGAGGAGCCATTAGGGGAGCTCCTTTCCTTGTTTGTTGCCATGTCTTGTAATGATCTTAAAAAAAAAAAAGTTAGAGTTTTCCCCTGTCAGCTCTCATACCATGTTGGGCTGAGAAAGCCCTTAAGGATCTTTGCAGAGGATGACTCTGGGTAAGAAACTTTGTAATAGCGGAAGCGTTTAATGAAACTTGTGAACCGACCTTGCACTAGTGTGTGAGAGCAAAGTGGATTAAGGGTGCATTCCGCTGTGGACACATGTCCCAATCGATGTGTCCCAATCGAGTGTACCGCTCCGAACCGAACTAAACCAGAGACGCGAAAATTTCGAAACTAGGGTGCAATTTGGTGTAATACGATGCAGTGCGGTAGAAACGATTGGGACACATCGATTGGGACATGTGTCCACAACGGAATGTACCCTAAATTAAACAAGCAAATACAAGGTTTTATATAAGAGTACAGGGAATACGAATGGATAGATAACTGTATTTGCTGTTGCGACTCGATACAGTGCGACTCGGGCAACTGCTCTGTAACGAGTCAGTTGTGTGTCCTTAACTGTCGCGCTGTAATTGTCGAGTCAAAGGTCGCTGACCTTTGACTTTCCCGTAACCTCCAGGCGGTTACCCTAACCTCCGAGGTTTGACTCGATGCTTCGATTCGGACTGCTTCGCTAGTGTCTTGGGTTTTGACACGACAGAAGCGCACTAAGACTTATTGTTTCCAACACATTTCACGTCCTAGGTTGTAATTGATTCCCGTCCTTTTGTTCGTATGAGCCTTTATGAGCTCAGCAGACTCTACATGGCACAAACTCAAAACTTGTAGCAAATCTATTTACAAATCAAGATAATATGCAGTGCAGACGCATGTTGGTTGAGTAGCAACCTTGGTGTCCCTACTCTAACCTGGAAGTCTGATTACGGTGACATTTACAAACCAAACGAGAAGGGTACGAATTTTGCAAACCAAGTATAACGATGAAGGTTGATGTTACATCTTAGCTCTGCCGCTGCTGCTCCTGTTGTTTCTCCTCTTGCTGATGCTGCTGCTCCTGCTGCTGCTGTTCTTGCTGCTACTCTTGCTGCTGGGGCTGTGGCTGCTGTGCGTGATGTTGGTAATGGTAGCAGGGTAACTTGGCAGGTGGAGGGCAGTTGCAGCACCTGGCAACCACACAGCAGCAGCAGCATGTGGAGCAGTAACCTCCGCCCTTCCGCCACTAGTGGTGCCATCAATACAACCACCTGCCCTTGCACTGAGCTAATTGTCCTGTCCCTGCTACCCTCCCCCTCCCCCTTCCTGCTGCTGCTAGTGTTGCTGCTGCTGCTGCTGCTCTTGCTGTTCTTGCTGCTGCTGCTGCGGCTCCTGTGGGTGGTGTTGGTGGTGGTGACTGTGCACCTTGGCAGGTGGAGGGCAGCTGCAGGACCGAGCAACCACACAGCAGCAGCAGCACGTGGAGCAGTATCCTCCGCCCTTCCGCCACCAGTGGTTGCCACACCCTCCTGCTCTTGCACTGAGCTCATTACCCTGTTGACCCCACTCCCCCCCCCCTCTCCCCTTTCCTGCTGCTAGTGGTGTTGCTGCTGCTGCTGCTCTTGCTGCTGCTGCTGCGGCTGATCTGGGTGGTGTTGATGGTGGTGACTATGAACCTTGGCAGGGGGAGGGCAGCTGCAACAGCGGGCAACCACACAGCAGCAGCAGCACGTGGAGCAGTATCCTCCTCCCTTCCGCCACCAGTGGTGCCACACCCTCCTGCTCTTGCACTTCGTAACGCGTTGTGTCCCCCTCTGCTCCCCCGTTTGTTCGCCCCTCTCTCCTCCCAGCTGCTCCCCCGCTGGCACTCCACTGCCCCTCCCTTGCTCTCCTTCTCTTCCCTGCTCCTGCTGCTGCCTCTCGGCCTCTAAGAAGGCGTCTAACGCTGCTGACGTTTCTGCTGCTGCTTTAAACTCGCCAATAACTAACCGCAGTATGCACAACACTGCAGCCAGTGCAGCCGAAATAAGCATTCCAAACACCAGCCTCCACCCCAGGTCTCCTGCTCCCTTCCCCCCGCCTCCTCCCCCAATCTCTGCCACTATCCCCGTTAGAAACGGACCCAGAGCAGCCCCTAGCGAGCCCGTACCATCAATGATCGCAGTAACCGTAGCCAACCCCTTTGAATTCCCTCGGAGCGACGCGTGCTGCCCCAGATCAGCGGACACGGCACAAGTGATAAGCGCGTAGGGCCCATTCACAAAGAATCCCACCAGTGAAAGCAGCCCTATGTGCACAGAGAGGGAAATTCCGCCCAGAAAGGAGTAGAGGAGGAGAGCGGGGACAGCTAGGAGCATGAAGGAAGCGGACACGGTGGCGTGGGCGCCCGTATGGTCGGAAAGATGGCCTGCCACTATCCCCCCCAGCACCCCCCCTAAATCGAAGACTGTCGACGTTACTCCAGCAAACGCGTCAGTCAGATGATGGCCCGCTATCTCTGCTTGGGAAGGTGGGGAGAGAGCGAGGAAGGGGAGGGAGAAGTGAGAAAGGGAGCAAGATATCTGTGTGGTCGGAAAGATGCCCCGCTACTATCCTCCCCAGCACCCACCCCCCCTCCCTCCTTCCCCTCCCCCCACAAAGTCAAAAACTGTCCATTCGCCCGAACACGCGTCGGTGCATAGTTACAAGTTTGTTCCACATTTTTCCTTTTGACGGAGTACATTTCAGTGCTTCTCGTACGGGAGTCTGTAGGCGGTATTCGTCTCACCTGTGCGCTTGATGTAGAACGGGAGCCAGTACAGGAACGTGTACGCCACAAGCTTAGCGAAGAACAGGCATAACGCGTACGCCGCAACACCAGGAATTTGACATGCGTCCCAGAAACTGATCGCCTCGTGCTCCCCGCCGCTCCCTTCCATTCCCGCTTTAAGCACATCCTCTGTTATCACAATCCGACCCTCCGCTCCCGGCCCCGCATCATCCTTCCCCTGTAAAAGCGGCACCGTAAGCTGCTCCGATACTGAAGCATAAGCAGCCTCTTTCGGAGCTAATAGGGCAGCATCGAAACCAGCCGCCACGTCAGCAGCCATGTCAGCGCATTCGACAGCTTCAAGCCCCGACTCCTCGTCCCCCTCCCCGTGCACGCTCCCGCCCGCCTCACTAGACGACTCCGACAGCAGCAACGAATGCGGCGACTCCAGCCCTATGGTTTCCGGTTCCGGCGCAAGAAACAGAAACATGACCAGCGCTCCCGCCATGATACTGAATCCGGGGATGAGAAACGCCCAGCCCCATCCGCTTGCAAGCGCGGACGACGCGATGAGCGATCCGAGAATGTTGCCGACGGAAGTGTGTGCGTTCCACACGCCAAGAATCAACCCGCGGCCTTTTTTTCCGTACCAGCTGGCCATAATCGCGACGACGCTCGGCCAGCCGGTCGCCTGGAGGAACCCTGCGGCCATTTGCACCGCTGCGAAGTAGTTTAACGAGTGTATATTCCAGAAATACCCCATGCCGAAGAGGGATACGAATAAGCCGCTGCCGAACATCCCCACGGAGAGGAAGACGCGGAGGTCGATTCGGTCGCCAACATGGCCAGCGATATACATGCCGATCGCGTAGCATCCCAGAAACGCGATATCGAGTTCCCCGAGAAGAGATTTCCCGGATTTACCGTTGAAAGGAGCCCATCCGGCTTTTTGTTCTGCCCGCAGAAGAGAGTTTTCTGGGTGGCTTTCCAGCCGCTGGAGGTAGAAAGTCCAGGGATTGCTTGTAACGGAGTTGCCTGTATCGAGAGGGTCGAGCACGCCCTTGACAATGCTGGGAGGCTTTCGCGAGGCGTGATATAACGCGTATGCGATAAAGGTGAGAACAAGGACGAAGATCTGGTGCGTCGCGAAAGAGAAATCCTTTGGCCGGAAGCGACGAATGAGAGCCAGGCCCGGCGGCGCGGTGGAGCACGCGCGGGAAACCATTGCGCCGCGGTGAGCTGTTCTAAGCTTAAACCTACGGTCCTAGTAGGCCTGTTCTTTGATGTTCACAAAATACTACGACCAAAGAGCAGCAGCTAACGACCGAGGAATATGTTGCCTTGGTGATGTTATATACGGCTGCGACGATGCCTGAAACGCGAGGCAGCTGGGAGAACAAACACACAACCCTTCGGCTGAAATGACAGCTCCCACCACAAGCAGAAATCGTCAGGGACCACCAAGTGTTCCCAAGGCCTCGATTCCAAGCAGCCATAGATGATGGGATTTTCCATTACTCCTTGTCATGTCGGGGACAACGCGGATAGGTTCGTCGGTGCTCCTCGAGATTGGTTGCTGACCCTTGAACAGAGGAGCCACATGGGCAGAAGGACGGTTTCGACGAGCTGACCGCATGACTGTATGCGCGATTGATTTCTCGACAGCATTAGCTTAGAGATCGTCTGCAATGGATTTGAAGGGCTTTCCAAGAAACGTGCGAAGTGCAAGGATGGTTTTCTGGGGCTTGTTTGCCTGAAAGGAGTCTGATCTGACCTGAAACTATCCGACGATGTCCCTGGACGGATAGATGTCGTCCATTCTCGATGACTGCGGTTCGGGATGGCCCCACCGCGCCGCCTTGTTACGTGCGCAAGATTACGCTCATTGGTTCACGGGAATATTCCCTTCAGTTGATTCCTTCTCGAGATTGGTCCGCGCAAACAAGTCAGCATGAAGCTCGCGGCCGTCAGCTTTTCTTGTCACTGTCAAACTTTGCCCTCCTGTTTCAGACACTTTCCTGTGGAATTCGTTTTTGATTGTGTTGTATGGCGTGTCCCACATGTTTGTCTGAACGCGGATTTTAGCAGATGTTTCATACGCTTTATAATAAAGTTCCGCTTGCCCCCCAACAAAGAGCAAACAAAGGGCTATCAACCCAAGCTCCAAAACTCAGAAGAAAACATTACCACAGAGAAGTAACATGCTATTCATCGCACTTGAGTGCAGCACATCATTGGAAAACCAATGATGGACAAGTGCAAGGAAAATCCCTTTTCCTTACTTCGCGTCCCCGCTCAGCGCGTACACCACTGTAGCACCACAGTCAGCACGGTTACCACTCACAAACCCTTGCATCGACAATCCTCCCGCCACCTTCGCACGTCGCACCCCGACCTCACGGCTCGGCGGGTAACCCGCCCTCCGGGCCTCCGCTTCGACATTTTCCCAAACCTCAATCCCAGGCCCGACGCGCGACAACCACAGTCCATTACCGTTACCACTATAGTTTCGCTATATATTCTTCGTTCATGCCTTCGTTCATTGTACCCTTGCTTCGATAGTGCAATCCTCGTTCGATCACTCAATCGCACTCGTAACGCTTGGTATTAGAGCCTACGATCTCTTCTCGGACCGCACCCACACCTTCGCTTCCCCACTATCTCAATTTTTGGGGGGGTAGACGTCTCTCAGCGACACAGCACCGCCGCTCGTAGTGCTCTCTCGTAAGCACGCACGGCCACGACAGAGGCTCTCGCTGAGCTTGCCCGACACCCCCGCCATGGCCGAATTCACGCTCGCGACGTTGACGTAGGAACAACTTGACCGTCTGGTGCGCCAAGTTGAAGAATCGGCGCTCGAAATTGCGACGCTCACGGCGGAACGTGACTCCGCGCGCCAGCAATCCACGATGAATACCCCAGCACCACCACACGCACCAACAAATGCATCTGCACAATCGGACGAGCCGATCGTAATTTCGTGCGGCACACCAACACAACACGACAGCGTGGGACAGCGCTCAGGTGCAGCCAGTGATGGCGCCGCCCAACCGATGCCTGGCATGGGGGGAAACAGGGTCGCACCAAGCCCGCGGGTGCCTCGTGAAGCCCGTCGGCACGAGGAATTTGCGGCGACAAGTGGCGAACAGGCCATTATGGCACCAATGCCACTCAAGCCGCAACACCCGCCCTGCTTCGACCCGAGCCAGCGTGGAGGTCCGACGGTTCAGTCTTGGGTCTTCACGATGAACGTCTTCTTCGACGCGAATTACGTCGAGTCGGACGTAGCGAAGATCCGATATGCCGTCTCGCTGCTGAGGGGCCCCGCCATGGACTGGTGGCGAGTCATCGTGACGTCGTCACGCGACTACGAGCCACCGTCGCAAGAGGAAGGGCCCACGGGTCCAGCTGTCACCTGGAGTTCATTCTGAGAAACCGCCCAGTACAGCACGTGGGATGCGTGGTGCGTAGGGCTTCGGGCGCACTTCGAGCCAATCGCGGCTTCCATTTCGGCGCGTTAGAGACTGTGTACTTGGCGGCAGCTCGGATCGGTTCAAGACTACACGAGTGGTTTTCTCGCATTATGCGAGCAAGTCGGCTACATGCACGAAGCGGAGCGGGTGGACCGTTACGTCGGAGGGCTGAAGCCGGACATCTCGCACGAGATCATGCTACGCAAGCTCTCGAACTTCAACGAGATTCTCGCGCTCGCCGAGAAAATCGACATTTTGCGCCGTCCGAGACTGGGGTCCTATTACGAACATCGTCCTCGAGGACCGATCGAGCACGCCACCGTACATGCCGTTGCTACGAATGCAGCTGCCGCGCCCTTTAATGGGCGCTGCTTTGCTTGCAATAGGTTGGGCCATCGCAACAGTGAATGCCCAGAGGAGCCGAGGTGCCGCGGAGCAGAGCAGAGGAGGGAGTCTCCAAGGCACGGAAACGCCAGCAGTCAGAAGGAATCGGGCCAACTACTGACGAGACTGCCTGCTCGCCCAACCCCACCGACCCTCACCGAGTCACAGTATCGATTCATGCCATCGATCGAACTCGGACGAATAAGGAGGGTACAGCGACGGATTGCCCAGTACTAATCCACGGTAAAATACAGGGAGCAGTGAGAAAAACTGAAACGAGAATGGGTGAACTATGAATGAAGTGGGTACAAGTACTAACCCTAATTGGGTTGTACCCCCTATGGGATACCCCACTACAGCCTACACAAAAGCATAAGCTATAATGTTCTGACACACCCCCATAGGCAAAGTGGGGGAGAACAGAGGGTCACAAGACTAGTCAAGCAAAGCAAAACAGAGCAAAGCTCAGGGTGGATCACAAAGTCACCACACATTCCAAGCACAAGTACAAGGCCACAAGGCCAGCTCACATGCAGGAGTACATATATATATATATATAAGGCTAGACAAGCAAGAGCAGGTATATATATGTAACAGTACAAGCAAGGTCAAGAGGTGAGCAAGTGAGGCAAGACAGGGACAAGACCCAACTGAGTGCAGAAGCGCTGATGATCACAAGGCGGAAGTGCCTTGGTGAAAACATCAGCAGTGTTGGCCTCAGAGCCCACGTACGCAAGCCGCAACTGTCCACGCTGCTGTAGCTCACGAGCAAGGAAGTAGCGGAGAGCAATGTGCTTTGTTCTATGCTCCGGTCGCTGCTCTCGACACAAGGCCAGCATGGCCTTGTTGTCTACGTACAGTACTAGAGGAGAACGAGGCGGCTCTCCGAGGCCAGTCAGCAGGTAGGTGAGCCAGCGAAGCTCCTGTGCGGCCATGGCTCCAGCGTAGATCTCACCCTCACAACTGGAGCCGAGAACAGAAGACGAGCGGGTAGCCCGCGACGAGACAGAGCCGGAACCAAGGCTGAAGGTGTAACCCTGTGACAACCACTGCGTAGCCTGGTCGTCAGCCCAAGAAGCGTCTGCGTGCCCAGTGAGGACCACTGGACTGCGCCCTCCAAGCACTAGCCCCATGCCCGACGTACTGCACAAGTAGCGCAACACCCTCTTCGCTGCAGCCATGTGCTCTGGTCGGTGTCTCCTAGGAGCAACATAGCGTGCGAGAATGCTAAGAGGGTATGCAAGGTCAGGTCGTGTGCAGGTCATCAGGTACATGAGGCAGCCAACAAGCTCTGGGTATGGGCCACTCGACTCTACGGACTCATCCGAAGGCAGAGCTGAGAGCGAGTGGCGAGTAGGCAGAGGAGTGGCCTGGGGCGAGGAGTACGTGAAGCCGAAGCACTGAAGGACCTGCTGCACCATGTGTGACTGAGTCAGGGTAATGGTGCGGCGTGCACTGTCCCGAGTGATCTGCAAGCCAAGGTAGCTGCGCAGTTCACCCAGGTCAGTGCACGTGTGTCTCTTCTGCAGCTCGGACTTCACGTGGGCGAGTCCAGCAGTGTCAGCTGTGGCAAAGACCAAGTCGTCGACGTACACGAGGATGTAGAACGGCGGCAAAGAAGTGTCGGTGCGCAGAAACAGCGACGGGTCGGCAGTAGAGGGAGCAAACCCAAGAGCCGCAAGTGTAGTCCTCAGTGTGTCGTGCCACTCACGCGGTGCCTGGCGAAGACCGTAGACTGGCCGGCGGAGGCTCCACTGGGTGCCAGGAGGAAAAGTCCCAGTGAAGCCAAGTGGGCGGCGCAGCC